ATCTTTAAAGTAACAAGCTTCTATCATCACCGAAAAATTCGCCTTAATCCTAACGCCTTTCCAAAGTGTCTACATTTTTTGTTCTAGGCCCAAATTGTTTCCCGTAGTTCAAAAACTTAGTTTTAATATTGTTTAATTCGTTGCTTTTAAGTGTATATGAAACGTTTTTAATCTCGCTATTATTTTTTCCCATGAGTTTTGGATAAACTAAAGCAGGACTAATTTTATCTTAGATAGTTTACCAATTAATGTTAATAAACATTGCAAATTTGAAACAGAAGCTAATTATCCTTAAAATATCAAAATAATGATCTTGCTTGCTTCCACTATTTTAATTTACTTTGATAACTGTGACATCAAAATAGATAATTAATAAGATATACATCCATTTTATTCACAATCAGAATAATAGAATCGCTCTTAAAACAATGCGCGAACAAAATTATCCATCTCGTCGTCAGCCATATTTTGCCCTTTTCTATTCAGCTGCCACTTTTGGGGAGATATGTCTGCTTTGGCGAAAAAGTACTCGTTTATTAAATTAGAGTCTCATTTAGAAAAGAGCGTTCGGCACCTGTGTATAAATGATAAAGCAACATTTAGAGGCATAGCTGGCGAAGATCTTCCAGTCCCTTCAACCACTGCTCTCTTTGGTCCAATTTACATGAGCTGAAAGACTGGGTAAAATGGGACATTTTTCACCTTTATCAACCTGCCTCCTCTACGGAGAAAAAAAGTCAAAAGGAAGGTAATAAAGTTACTAGACTTGAGAAAATTGAATGCCGGCATAAAAATAATCCCACTTTCCCATGAAACATTGCACATCTCAATATCCTTCTCAATCTTATTATTTTGCTTTTGTTTGTTATTCACTAGATATCGCCACAATAGAAAATATTAATAATAATGCGAAATAATAATAATAAAATACTATTTTGAAAAAAACTTTTTTCAGTTAAAAAAAAAAAAAAAAAATAATAATAATGAAAAGAGCGATGGCTACTTTGTATAAATAAGAAAAATCAAAAATAAAGAAATTAATTTTTTTTAAAAATATTTGACTCATAAATGTGAAGTATTAATTCATTTCAAGACTATGAAAAAATATTATCAAAAAATAATAATATTGTTTAAATAAACAAAAAAATAATGCGAAATATTTTATAAATAGATTTAAAAAAGGGAGTTTGCTTTTTTTAAGGATGCCGAGCAAATAATAATGGTGTTAAATTTTAAAAATTATATACTAAACTAGCTAAATACCATTCTTCGTACTGGGTGAATAAACAAATTCACCTAATTAATACTGAACAACACTACGAAATTATGTACAAAACTGAAAGGCTAATTCCGACACAATTGAAATAGTTAGTGGAAGAACCAGGTAAGGGATATTTTTAGGGGTATTTATGAATCTGTGAGAATAACAAAGGTGGTTGCATCAATTTGAGTATGTTTAATATTTACCTATAATTTTCAAACTCGGCTAGGTTATATAATATACTATATTATTGTACCAAAGGAAGTGATTATAGACAAATTAGGGTGCCCACCGAGGGGAGAAAATATGGTTCCATTGGAAAAGAGAGGGAAATTACTTAAAGGTTAATATAAAGTTAATGAGGCGTGGCCATTAGTGTTACGCGACTGGGAGCAGCAAATTAGTAGACCCAAGGGTCCAGGGTTCGATCCCGGAAAAGGTTACTATTCTAAAAACTATTTTTCAAAAATTTTTTAATTTTTTTTTCAATTCTGAATTATAAATATACCTTTTCCTTAATTTATTGTTTTTCTTTTCTATAAGAGCGAATAATAGCTTTAAAATAGAGAAATTGTAGCTCATATACTATGCGTATGAATTACCCCATTTCTCCCCTTAATATTTAACCTATAATTTTCAAACTCGGCCAGACATTATGCTATAGTATATTATACAATCGTACCAAAGAAAATAATTTTAGATAAATTAGGAGGCCCACGATTGGGAAAAATATGGTTCCATTGGAAAAGCGTGAGGAAATACTTTATGGTTAATATAAGTGACCGTTGGTGGCATGTGCTAGGAAGCAACAAATTAGTGGAATCAATCAGGTGGTTCAAATAAGGTTAAGGGTCAGTATTTTAAAAATAATAGTTCATAATATTTTTTAAATTTCTTTTCAAAATTGTAACGTAGATAAAATATTCCTTTTCCTTAAATTATTATTTTTCTTTTTTATAAGAGCGAACAATAGCTTAAAAATGGAAAAAATTTTGCTCATATACTATGCATATAAATAGCTCCATATCTCCCTTTAATAGCAACCTATAACTTTTAAACTCGGTCAAATATTACATTATAATATACTATACAATCGTAGCAAAGGAAATAATTATAGACAAATTAAGGGCCCCACGAGAGGTCAAAATATGGTTCAATTCGAAAAGCGCTGGAAAGAACTTAAAAGTTAATATAAGTGGCAATGCTGTGTGGGGTTTGACCGTTAAGGATAGGCAGCAACAAATTAGTATACTCGAGGGTCCGAGGTTCGAACCCGGTTAAGGATTAATATTTTAAAAATTATATTTCATAATTTTTATAAAAAGAATTTTTTCAATAATGATGTAACGTTAATAAAATATTCCTTTTCCTTAAATTGTTACTTTTCTTTTTTATAAGTGCGAATAATTCCGCGGTGCAAAATTTATATAAATTTTCAAGATGTCCATCGTATAATGTTAGTTCTTGGTAACAAATTTTGCTTCATAACGTCATTAAGAAGACGATATAACGTGGGTGAAGCTATTCATGGCAAATTCTTTTTCAACTACAATATTTATTTAAAATCTAAAGCATTGAAAAACATGATATCAAGTAATTAACTTAACTATGAAGTTTCAAATGCTGATTATCTTTTAAAATATCAAGTTTCAAGCAAATATGACAGATTTACTTTCCTACTTAACAGCAGCAAGGCCTGCCAAAGTTTATCTGCACTTTGATATTTAGAAAAACTAATTCAACATTTGTAACTTCTTAGTTCACTCTTGATTCATCTGAACTCATTTTTTCTCTATGCTTTAAATTTTAAATTCCTAATGTAGTTGAAAGAGGATTTGCTAAAAAGGATATCTTCGGCTGTCATTTATCACTACTTAATGCTTGATCATAATTTATTCGGATGGATGATCTTTTCAAGCTAAATTCGTGATTAGTAATTTGTTTTCAATCTTTTCTGAACTTTTCAAAACGAAAGCGTTTGTTTTCATCCCTTTAGAAGTCTGCCGTTTCTGGGTGATAATTTATAAGATAGTGGAGAGGGAATTTGAGTTTCACTTTCGATTAACGTATATGATTCGTTAAACTTGATCAAATCTTCAATAATCCAATCAAAATATTCGTTTCTGTTTGTTAAAAATTTGCTTCTTTTAATCGATTCATCAAATTTAACTGATCTCTCCCCTACACTATTATATTTTTAGCAAAATCATAAAATATATGCTCGTCTATCTCTGGAATAACCGACAAAAATTCTTCGTTTGCCAGGAACTAATTCGATCTAACTAACATCACCTGACGTTAGTTTTTCAGGAGATAAGCGTGATATTAAGTAGAAGAGATACGTCGAAAAATAACGAAGTTTACATCAAGTTACTAAAGGCACTTTTGCATACTCATTCTCAATGAAAGCATATTTTTTTATTATTTATCTTGTTTCGGCTATGCGTCGTTCAGTCAATAGACAACGTAATACTGTGCTTTTTTTATGGTACAAAAGTTAATAGTTAATTGACCTTCATTGCCTACAAGTTAATAAATGAAAGCGACTTACAAAACGACATCTATATTATCAAAATAAAATTTTTAAAAAATGGCTGCTTTCCCTAAGGGTGGGAGATCTTCCTTCTCACGCAGGAACAAACTGAACTCGTTGCGGAATAGAATTGGTTGAACTTTTTTCTTGGCCACGAAGACTGAGACAAATGATTAGATTTAAAACGAAACAGTTAAATAACTCTGCCCATTCAGAATTGTCTATCAAAATTTCTTAAAAATACAATATTAGTAATTATCTTCAAACATGAGCGGTTTCCGAAGAAATAATGACATATTGCAAGAAGTTGATTTCTAAGCAATTTCGTAGTGCTGAAAAAATTATCTGTCTCTCAATGATATAAGGTTTTTGAGAAGTACATAAAAATGTGTAAAATAATTTACAAGCTTCATTTCGTCACACCTTGAGTTCACTTACATTTTTCAAATTTTAGATATTCATATTTTAAAGTCAATTGTGCCCTCTTTAAATATTTAGTTTTAACTTTGCTGTTGTTGGTAATCTTTAAGTGTTCTGAAAATGCATTAATAATTATCTAAGAGTTTGTTCCGTTAGAATCAACTGAGAAAATATGAAGAAAGAGTTTTCTCAAAACTGTATCAGGTATCTTTGAAGTCAGTGTACATGATTTCTCAAAGCCTAAGGAAACATTCCTATTGAAATTTTATTCACTTGTTCTAGAGTGAATCCTCAAAATGCTAAATGAAGTTCTTTTTTTTTTTTTTTTTTTTTGAGCGCTTCTTATTTTACGAGGCATTTTTGTCTAAATTATACTGAACTTTTATTTTCATAAAATATTGACGAAAATTTAGATTAATTTATTTTTAAATTTTGCATTAAACCACTACTAAATTTCATTCAAAAGATGTGCTAAAAATTTTAATAAGATCAATGCATTTAATTTTTGTTTTATTGTGTCCACCACGAGAGTATTTTTAAGAAGTCTCAAAAAAATTATTCTCAATGATAAAGTGTTAAAAATTTTCAGTATTTTATATAACTCAATGAAAAGGTCATGTATTGTTATTTTATGTGCTCAAAGTTTGAATGAAATAATTCGCATAAAAAACCCTTTAAGACCTACGTAACCACATAACTCCTTAATTCTAAGTAAAAAAAAAAGGAAAAAAGGCAGTGAATGACAAAAAAATGGGTAGCAACGAATTTTAAAAAATGCACATCATGTAGAAATTGAAACATTTATTATTATACATTTTTTTATATACAATTTTAAAAACCGTAGTATTCATTCCAGTGTTGGTTTATTTTGGCGAAAAATTTAGTTTCATTTCAATATATACTTTTTATAGTTATCACATCAGAAAAGTCATTTCAGAATTAATGTCATTTTAGTTCAGTTTCATAGCATAATTCTTTCTCTTTCTTTATTTGAAGTTGTACTGAAAGGATAGTGAATTTCCATATTGATAAGGGGAATAATTCCCCATGCCATATCGTCAAATGTTTGGTAGATGATCGAATCTGTTTGTAGACCTAGACAGAGGAGCATTTTTTGATTCTGGTGATGATAAGGAGTTTGTCTGATTGGGCAGTTGAGGCAGTAAAAGAGACTGGTATTGTCCGTACTAAAATGAAAACAAAAAGCATTTATAAGACACAATTTCCAAATAATGTATTTTTTCAATACAATTTTGAACCAAATAAGTGAATTTCTGCGAAAATTAAGGATAGGATTAAGAAGGCTGTAATTTCGATCACTTTCGTAACCATACCGATAACCATGTTTTCTGTACCAGTAGCCATATTTTCCGGAATCGTGCTTTTCATATTTAAAGATTTAAATAAATGAAGCATTTCACTCGATGTAGTAGTACTTTATTTGCGTCACATTAGAGCTTCACAATGGGCTATTGGCGGCAGTCAAGAAAACATCCTTGAGAATGACATGCAATAGCAATTTTGATTCTCTGCAGAGGGAATAGCTTCTCCGCTTTGATAGTTTGACGACCTGTGCGCGAGCACTTTACGGTAGAACTTTTTAACATTTTTTTTCCGAAGCTCTGTTGCCAATAAAAATAAAGCCATAGTTTAAGTGCCTTAAGCTTGAAGCAACGCGAGGATTATATATATTATCTTGCCATGGGCTTTGAAACGGACAAATACCTTAAATATTTTAGAAACTATTAAACTTTTTTAAAATTTGGAGGCATTTTCCACCTAGAGGAAAATTATCGAAATCACTGTCTCAGTTTTTACAAATTTTTATGAATCCAGGCAGCATTAGAGTAAGTTCTTAAACATTAAAAATCGCAATTACTTTTCATTTTTACAAAATTGGGGCTTCTCTCCATATTGACGTTTTGCGCCATTTTCAAAATAAGCGTTGAAAAAGCTTGGTTTAGATAGGCTATACTTGGCCAAACATTCATGAGTTACAGTTTCAAACTCACAGCAGTTATAAAAATAGCATATTATTTGCAAAAAGGCATCATTACTTCGACGGAGCCTTCGGAAAACAACCTTCCACTTTCAGTGGTTTTATTAGGTAACACTTTCATCGACTTATCTGGTAAACCTCACTGCGTGGCAACCCTAACCAGCCTCAATACCTAGCACTCGCAGAAATTATAACTTTTCACGCACATGGATCAGGGCTAAAGAGAATAGAAGGGCTGGTTCACTCCTTTGAAGTATCTCTCGGCGCGCCGATCCTCCAACGTCACTCTAGTGACGTCACTTTGGCGCAAAGCTCGCACTTTTACTTCAAGAACGGAGCGTTTGGCCTTACTAGCTCTAACTAATATTGGAACATTTCTTTTTGTGAGATATTCTAAGACATTTGTTATTTTCTATAATGACTTTCCTCAGTTTTTGCAGTGAATTTAGACGCATTAGATGAGATNATAATGATATCGTTTTTATTTATAATAATATCGTTTTTATTTATAATAATAATCGTTTTCATTTCTAATTTTTATAATAATAATCGGCAATAAATATCGTTTTTGAATAAGCTACATTTTTTGTAATTTTATTCAAAAATAAGTAAGTTTTATTAATCAGTTAGATAGTTCACTCTTGTCGGTCAGAACTGTATTCTTTATTTCAAAATGATTTAAAAAACACTATTTATAAGTAGATTTTAATGGTTTAAAGAAGTTTAGTTAATTGTGCAAAAATGGTTACAGAAGCTTATTTTAAAGTTAAAACACGCAAAACAAATTTTCTTTGAATATTCCCAAATTATTTTTCTAGTCAAAAGCAGGAAGTAAATTTTAAACAGTCACATTTCTCTCTGGTTTAATACATTCAAAATTCCATCAAAATTAGGTGTTTTCACTGAATTTAAGATAGAATTCTTGTTCATTTTTTTTTTGCATTTCCTTCATTGTTTGTCTTTTTTTAAATGTTGTAGGAAAAAAATTAATTAATTTGCCTGAATATAAATGAACACAATTACAAGGGGGAATAATTGACTTTCAATTTTTTTCTGATGTAATTCAGAATATTCGAGACAATTAACTCGAAATAAGAAAAAACACATATCTCGTATTAAAGTCATTATCAATTTACCGCCGATATAAACTTTAACGTTTGTTTCGTTCTCTCTACTTTTATTAATAAAAAAAATATATATTGGACATCCATTTAATAAAAATGAATGTTTCTTTTTATCTTTTAGGTTAAGAGCGATCGTAGCTTCAGCTCTAAGAGCGGAGTGAACTAGCCCTTCTATTCTCTTTAGCCCTGTACATGGATACGCTTAAAAGTTGTTTGTTACCTAGGTTTGGTAAGGATTTTATCCTCGTTCTGGACATGAAAAATTCGAATGACATCTCACTTGGCGCACTGTAATTACGCCAACTTGGCAAGCACAACCTGTTCTAGACTCAGTGTATGTTTTGTACGCCAACACAGCCCACGCATCTACACCCTAAGGGGAAAACGCTAACAAACTCATTTTAATAAAAAAAAACACATTTTAATTCTTCATTTACGCTACCTCCGCACACTTTCTTTTTTCCTTCAGTCCCCCCCCCCTATTTTTACCAGGTTTTTTCAATTACTGCTAATTTAGAAAAAATAAGCCTTTTTGTTTAAAATGCTCATCAACATCGCTCTTTTTTTTTAAAAAAAAAAAGTAAAAAAGATTGATTTATTAAGTGTGAAGTTAATTAAAAAAAAGTCTTAATACATATTTATACTGAGCAGCTTTTGTTTATTAAAAAAAATTCATCATAATACACAAAATGTAAGATTTCAATGAGTCTTACAAAATAAGTTTTTTTAAAATAATTTTTAATCAAAAGAATTTCTTAAAAAAATATCTTATGTGTTATTTTAAAATTCGATCATAAGAACATGAGTAAAATTTTCAGTCAAACTGTTAAAATAGTTTTTGGAAAAAATACTAACAACAAAGAAAATAAGGAGAAAAATATTTTTAAATAAAGCCGCGACATAAAGAAATAACTCCATCACATATTCACTACTATTTTCGTATAGTTTATTTTTAGCGAAGAAATTTTTTTTTTTGATCTACTGCCCATGTGTGAAATAGTGCTCGAAGATCCGAGCTAGAAAATGTGAGACTGGACCTGGCGAAGGCGACATTGGCGAATCTATAAATACAGTGAAAAAAAGGAGATGCCCGGGCGACAATGCAGAAAATCGCATACCGTACACACTTGGCTCCTTCGCAAGCTGATCAAAGTGGTCACCCACCAGCTCAAAGACGGCAGCAAGTGATGCTTGCCTTCGGTGATCTACTGGGAATCGGTATTCGATCAGTCCATTGTGAGACTTAGGTCGATAAATTGAGCTTTTATTTAACTTAATGAATGAAATCTTCAAATTAATAAAGAATTTATTTGATGAAACTTCAACGCAAATTAACAAATTGCATAAAAGTAAACAAACCTAGTTGTTAAGAATACTCTGAAGCAAAAACAACCACATACACAAAACTAGATAATAAATCAATCTAACCTTTGATTTTTCTCTTTTGTATCTTTGGGCTTCATCAAAATTATCAAGTTCTGGCACTTTAAAGTTGTCGAAAAAAGGGTGATTCAAAAGTTGAGCACAAGGATATCGCTTTTGAGGATCTTTATCCAAGCATCTCTAAATATGTGTAATTACAATGTTATGTATAATTACATAATAAATTATCAGATAGAAATAAATTCAAGAAAAAATTTAACTTAATTTTTTATTTTAGTTACTTTTGTTGCAGCGGAATTAATAAAATTCTGATTGAACATTTTTACCTTAAGGAAATCTACACCATGTTCGTGAACATGCTTTGGTATCTTGTTTTCTAAACTTTCCTAAAAATAATAAAAACTGCAGTTTAAGTAAAACCAAACTTTACATTAATTACATATATAGTAATTCATTTTGGGATACGATGCAGCAACACAATTTGTGAAAATTTAATCAAATTCGGTTGTGATACTTCTTGGGGATCAGATACAATGAGAGATTAAATTGGTAAATTCTGAGTTGAAAAAGTAAAAAAAGTTTACGTTTTTGTTAATATCGAAAGCATGGATCACTTAGGGGACAAACTATGGAGGGTGTTTTCAATATAAATGTAAACAACAACAATCTCGAGCTCTTGATTTGCTCTACTTCCGGTTAGAAAGTATACAGCTGCTTACTACAGCTTCTTCTACGAGGCAATATTTTCAAACAGATAATTTTGCTTTAAAAAATTATATAATTTCTGAGCTGCTATATTTCATAAGATACTAATGATATTAAGTAATTCTGGTGAGCTTAAAGTGAAAATTTATTTTAGTTATTTATAAATGTATAGTTAAAAATTGTTTCATAGTTGCTAAATTTAGAAACAACTTGCTTTTTTGGCAGTCCCAATTTGGTTCCTTTTTAGATGTTTATTACTGTTAATTCATGTTGCAAGGCGTGCACCATCAAACGTTAGTGTTAGAATATTGTTCGAGCAGCGAGATTAGGTTCATTTTACAAATTATCATTTAGGTTTAAATTTCGAATTTGGTATTCGAATTTGTTGAGAAGGTATGAAGTATTTTATAGCGATTCTTTTTTTCAAATGACGATTCTTACGTCTTGAAATGACAGGTCTTCAAATGACGATTTTTACAACGATTACTTTTATAAACGCAAATTATAAATCAGATCACAAATACGATTATACAAGAAATATTACTCAAGATACACTGCTGGCAAGGGCGCCGGCAGAATAATATAAAAGGGGGTGCAACCCTCTTACAAACTACCCCCCTCCCCTCCCCACAAAAAAATTAAAAATATTCTGTTATTTCATTTTGTTTTGTTTTCATGTTAGGTAGTACATATACAGTGGAGCATCGTTTATAGGACGCCGAAGGGACCACAGAAAAACGTCGTATAAACGATAACGTCGTATAATCGATTTTTACTTCTAAAACTGAAACTAACTCTGTTTTCAGTTAATTTTAATGTTTAACGTGTTGATTTACATAAATTTCTAAATTAGACAAAGCAAAGCAAACAAATAACCAAAGAAGAAAAAATGCAGTGAGCAATTTGAATGTATGTTACCTTTAATTATATGCTACTAGTCTCTACAATGCTTTGAATAGCGAGTTGAACTTACTGCTTTCTATGATGCAATTTTAGATTTCTAATCACGGCCAAATCTAATGGTTGAAGCGTACTTGTGCAATTTTCAAGAAAAAAGAGAGCTTTTACATTTTCCAAAATAATTAGTATCGATGGGTGCACTGGACATTGGTCGATGAATAGCAAAATTTTTCGTTTTTCCCTCTTCAAAACATTGTCAAGTTTTTTCAGTCATCTAGTAAAAATTACGGTCGTCATCCAAGCATTCTTGTTGGGCACCCTTTTCTGTATCATTCATGTTGGCAAATTCCACCCTTTTTCAAAATACTCAAAAAAAAATTAAATAAATGTGAATAAAATCTAAAAACCGACGCATAACCGATTCTGTACGACGTATAAATGATTTATTTTTACATTAAAATGAATAGGAATGATTTGGGACCACACTAAAACGTCGTATAAATGTAAACGTCGTATAAGTGATCGTCGTATAAACGATGCTCCACTGTACTTTCATCTGTTAATTTTTTCAAGATACATTTCTTCATTGTTAACAAGATATTTAAAAAGAAGTACGAATTTCTTGTACTTGCAAATTTTGCCACGAGAATCTGTACTGATGGCGCTGGCATAGCTACTGACTTTGAAACACAAATTACTACAAACAGTAGTTTCGTATACTAACGTGTTTGTGCACGCTTAACATTGGTATGTATTGTGTTGATGAAGTTTTACAGTTTTGAGAAGTCAGTTAGTGTTATACACCTTTGTTAAACTAAATAACTAATAGAAAATATAATATTACTTATATTTTATTAAATGAAATTTAAAAATATAGCTTAGATGTCTGCCAAGTTTGTTCAATAAAAATATGTTTAATAAAAAACTTTTATAACAAAATTATTTTTCTGTATCTCTTTAATTGTTTAAAAAAAGCCAGGGGGGGGTGCAAGTGCACCCCCTTGCACCCCGCTGCCGGCGCCCTTGACTGCTGGCCACCGTAAATGCAACACCCTGAAGGAAGCATGCAAATAACATGAAATTGCATTAGTGGAGGTGAGATATGCAAATGATTAGAATTTCAGCGCAGGCGCACATTGCGCGCTCCTGTGGCGCTACTTCAAAGCGCTATTTAAGGCTTGGAGATTTCGACGATTTCAAGTTCGGCAATTGTGTTTTTTTGTGGTTTTTTCAAAAAAACGATCAATTATGCCTCGTAGAAAGCAACGATCATCCTTTGATCAAGTATCCAAGTTCGACAGAGGAAAGATAGTGGCCTACCGAGATTGTGGATTATCTTTCAGCGAAATCAGTAGTCGTGCTGGACGAAACCAAACAACTGTAATGCGGATATGTGATCGTTGGATGCAGGAGAGTACGATGGACCGACATGTTCAATTGCATCCACCTCAGTGCACCACTTCACGTGATGACAGGCGAATTGTGCGCATGGCAGTGACTGATCGCTCAGTCACATCACAAACCGTAGTACAGCACATTAAATCTGTAACGCATCATCCAGTGTCTGCGCGTACCATTCGACGCCGTTTACAGCAGAGTGGTCTGTCCGCAGGACGTTTATTGCTTCGTCTACCCTTGACGCAGAACCATGGACGTCTACACAAAAAAACCGATTTTGATGCCTGGATCACTGGATCAGGAGTTTTCTTGTCATTTATTTGTATTGAAATTTATAAAGTGTATAAAGTATGCATTAGAAAAACAATTGTTTGCCTTTTAATTTTTTATTCATATTTTCACATTACAAGATGCATCATAAAATGCGAAGTAATTTAAAGTTGTATCTTGAATGAAATGCAATGGATTACAATTGTATTGTGATGAATGGCAATAATGATTTATGATAACAATTGTAATTATGAACAATCAATTAAATCAGTATCAATAATCGCGATCAGAAACTTTTGTCACATTCAATTCTTTTCATTACAACGTATTACCCATACTTCATTACTCATTCATAAAGAATTGAAACTAGCCTTCGTTTTTTTAAATATGTATGTGAATATATTGTGATATAATGGGTATACATTGTATGTTTTATATTTAGAAAAAACATACCCTGACATCTGGTTCAGGAATTGTAACTCCGGCAAAGAAATCATTTGATCTAAAAACTTGCATGTGTCGGGGTATAAGATCACCTGAAATTTACGACAATTAGAAAAGACAATTTTTAAAACAATCAATAATATGCTATTTTCAACTATTGTTTACCGATGCTCAAAAATATGCTTGACCATCAACACAAAGATAATAAATTTTAAAAGTAAATATAATACATAAATCATATAAATCAGCAATTTTAAACGTTGTATTTTTAAGTTTAATACTTTTTTCCCCATTTTAGAACACAATAATTTAGTGTCTATTATTTGGAAATGGATTCTGACAATTTTTCATGTAATCTACTTTCTGTTATACAGATTGCCCTGAAATCCACGAAACATTTAAGTTTGAGTCATTTAGACAGTAAAATGTTGTCAAAAAAACAAAAAAAAAAAAAAAAACACTGAGATATACTGACAGCTCAGGAGTAATTAAATGGAGCGCCACACGAAAGAGGAATACGTACTCATTACTGACCAATATTTTGAGCAGTCTTGAGTAATTCTCCGGTAGCGTAACTATCAATTTTGGCCTCAAAATTAGCAGCCCAGAGCATGCAATTTCAGGACATTGGACGATTATTTTTTATTTTTTAACTCTAAGGTATAAGCCAACATGAACAAAAACAGCCATGCGCTGAGGAGGAAGTTCAGAGCTGTTTTAATGAAATTCAGTCACATTTTTAAGAAAAGATAACTAAAAAGTTCTTTTAAAGAATTCTTATGCTCTTAAGTTTAAATGCAGTCCCATACATAACTCTACTCCACATATTTTATAAATAAATAAAAATATCCCGATTTGCGAATGAATTCCCCTTTTTTTCTTTAACTAAATTACGTCTCGAGTGAAATTTTGAACAGAGGCATCACAATTCTTTGTAGAGGCATCACAATTCTTTGATAAAATTTTCAATTGGAATGAAGAAAATTATTAATTAAAACACCAAAGAAAATTGAAGTAAAGACTCAATTCAAATAAAAATAGTCGCTTGAGATACACCATCATTTTAACATTGATGATAAATATTCTATCTGTTACTGTTTAATAGATCAGATGAAAAAATTAAAAATCCCCCCCCCCCGCATCTTGTTATTTTAAACCAAATTTATAAATTAAACGAATTCTTTTAGACAAATACTAAGACAAAATAGCATTTGTAGCTTTATTTTCTTTTGAGTAGGTAGAATCAGCACCAAGATAGCTATTCATGCTAAACTGCCTAAAATCAATTCTAAGGCCGAGAGCCATTAGGTATTTCCTACAGCGTGTTTTTAGTTATGTTTTCTCATTACAATTCAGCTGCGTGAGAAATTGTGGACATTCAACACTACTGCTCATAAGGTGAAGGGACAGGAAGACAAAGATAGGACAGATTTATGGGGACTTAGTATGTACGAAGCATTGTCTTTCACTTTGCCCTCGCGGTATTTCAATTGGTTATAACATTACTAGACTCCTATTTCTAGGAATGGTTTTGGTAGTGGAGTCAGGCCTAATTCATAATTCGCCAGTTTCTGGAGATATTTTATTTCAATGGTGTGTAGAGAGCGAGCCGAAATCAACATATGAACTCAGGAGTTATTGGTAGAATTCTAACTAGTATCCTGTTTCCAAAACCAAAACACAGTTAGAGTCTGTTAGTCATAAAGTACGAAGGGTTGTCTTTTTCAGGTAACACAGATGAAAGTTAGTTTGAAAATGTCCTCCACAAAGCAAGTTGATTCCAATTTATGAACTGTACTTCTGGGTTCTATTCATAATTGCAAGGCTACGGAGTTGAGCTGTATATCGAATATGGATAGTTTATTTAACACCGATAATAAAATTTAATAAAATAATTGTGCCTAAAACTATTATTAGCAATCAGTTTTCTTCACCTAGGGTTTTTCGAATAAGGTATAGTTGATCAACATCAGATTTTCCAGGCCACAAAGCCTCTCCTCTCATAAGCTCAACAGTGACGCATCCAATCGCCCATACATCAACAGCAGGTCCATATTGTGTTTCACCTACTAAAAGCTCTGGAGCTCGATACCATCTTGTGGCCACATAATCTGTATAATTATCACCTGGACCTGAAAATTAATTTTTTTAGTAAGTAATAATGAAAAGGTAGCTTCATTTTTCATAAATAGAATCATGGGTAATTAGTAAAACAGTTTTCTTACATTTCATCATTATGAAAATACTCGCTAGGTAATTTTGGTTTTTATTAAAAAGAAATTTCAAAATTTTGTTACTGCAAAATTGAGATTAGGAATTTCCTTCTAATAAGAAAACAATTCATATAAAATAATATTAATGTGAGTAGATGAGAAATGAGAGTTCTACGCCAGGGATCCAAGGGATCTGTAGGGGGCGTGGTCGAATGGGGGATCCGTAAGGGCTCTGTGGGGGGAGGGGGGAGGAGTCGCACTATAGTTGAAGGTGTTTTTTCATAATTATTTTTTTGATCTTTATTTTGTAATTAAATCTTTTTAATTGCTACTTTTTATTTAATTTTTAAACTATTACTTTTTAATTTAATTCTTAATTATTACTTTTTATTTAATTTTTAATTATTACTTTTTCATCATTTTTTTTTTAAATCTTTATTTTTAAATTATTTTTTTTAAATTAATTTTTTAGATTTTGTAATTATTCTTCCAATCTTTATTTTATAATTAAATCTCTTTAATTATAACTTTTCATTTGATTTTTTAATTATTACTTTTCATTTAATTTTTTTATCATTACTTCTTAATTTAATTTTTAATTATTACTTTTTATTTAATTTTCAATTATTACTTCTTAATTATTTTTTTAATCATTATTTTTAAACTATTTTTTTATAAGTTTTTAATTAATTTTTTGGATTTTGTAATTATTTTTTTATCTTTATTTTTTAATTATTTTTTTTCTGATACGAATGATACTTGAAAAAGGGCACAAAAATGAAACCCGATGTCATACAATCAGGATTGAACATGAATCAGGCTTTATTAATAATCAATCTGTAAGATGAAACATGAAAGTAATCTTGCAAGATAAAACTTGAAAGTAATTTTACAAGATAAGACATTTCTCCGTAGGGTGGAGTGATGTCATTTCTTCGAGTCAATCAAAACAGGAATACGTGATGTCATACAATCAGGATTTAACATGAATATGAAGTACGCGTATTCAAGATAGAGCATACATCACTTCTGTGTGGTCTAGAAAGACGAAGTACACTGAAATGTTTCGCTTACAATGACATTGTTAAAATTTTTTATAATACAGTTAAAAACAAAACGCTTCATCCTGTCACACAAAATAATTTATTAAACTTTGTAACTGCTCATTTCCTAGAACCAATTGATCTTGCTGAAATACTTCAAACCGCAAGAAAAGATTTTTGTACTAGTTCAGATTAAATAAATATGTTATTATTTTCCTTTATATCTCTATGCGATTCATGCATTATTTTTCACAAACTATGAATAGAACCAACCCTAATCATATTCTTCATTTATACTTTGCATTTCTTACTGTTAACATGGAATCCTTTTATAAAAATCCCAGACAACCAGCTAGTTTTGAGGGGTGCGGATGCAATACATCGTGCTCTCAAAGGAAAAGAGAATGCAAATACCGACAGAGCCTTTTTTTTAAAGATTCTTATACACTGCATAAACCTGTTAGACGCAAATTTCAACGGAATCGTGTTTTGACGAGTGATATGAATAGGTCAAGTCGATTTAGTCGACATGCAATCTCTTTCTAAATTCAATAAAAGGTATAAATACTTATTAACGTGTATTGACGTTTTCGCAAAGTATGCTTGAGCCATACCGCTAAAAGATAAAACGGGAAAAAATGTAAAAGTAGCCTTAGAATCTATTTTTAAGGAACGAAAGCCTGAATTACTTCAATCGGATGATGGAACAGAGTTCAAAAATAAAACAGTTCAACATTATTTGAAAAGCATGCAGATTAAATTTTTTACAACAAATAATTCTACGAAATCAAGTATTGTGGAAAGATTTAATAGAACATTGAAAACAAAAATGTGGAAATATTTCACAGAATTCAATACTAAGAATTACATCGATGTGATTGATCAATTAATATGGAGTTACAATCACACTCGACATAGCAGTATTAAAATGGAACCAGCTTCCGTTAATAAAAGCAATACCAGTGAGGTCTTGGAAAATTTGTATGGAGATTTGAAGACATTAAAACGCAATCCACCTGTTTTTAAAGTAGGAGATACAGTACGAATCAGCAGACTGAAAGGTCATTTTGAAAAAGGATACGAACACAACTGGAGTCGGGAAATATTCACTATTCATGAAATTATTCCTCGAATTCCTGTTGTTTATAGATTAAAAGACTTACAAGGTGAAGAGATCAAAGGTACTTTTTATAAAGAAGAATTGCAAAAGGTAGTAGACTCTGGCTTCTATCCGGTAGAAAAAGTGATCAAAAAGAGAAGGAAGGGAGGAAGCACAGAATATTTCGTGAAATTTTTAGGCTATCCTGAAAAGTTTAATGCCTGGGTGAGTGATATTCAAAAAGTATAAATAGTGAAACTTAACCTCTGAAGGCTCATTCTCGAAAATGTCTTTCTACGTGACGTTACCTTCTGATAGCTCCATGCAGTTTTTTCCTAACAACAAAATCTCTCATTTTAAGACGCAGTTACCGATACCAGTTAATCTAAACGGTGAATGGGAAGTAGGCCTATCTGAAATCATCTATCCCCATTCTTGGCTGAACGTAAATGAAAGTAACAATTATTTTCAATACAAGATAAGTAATGGTAATATCGTATCGACTGTAAAGCAAACAATTGATGTGGGGTGTTATGAATCAATGTTCGATATTGTATCAGCTATACAACTTGCTTTACCTAAAAATCCTAGCCGGTTTACAATAAGTTACAATAAAGCTACGAAACGAGTAAAAATTAACGTCGTTCAAGGTTGCAGTCTTTATTTAGAAAAGCTAGGTGAATTGTTAGGATTTCGACGCGATGCAGTGATTACGGGTAACCAGAAAAGCGAATTTGTGGCTGACGCGTGGTCTAATTTTTCAGTTTTCTATGTGTACACAGATCTTATTTCACCCCAAATTGTCGGAGATACACAAGCTCCTCTACTGCGGATGGTTCGAATAAAAGGACATGATGGTGAAACAATCAGTCAGTATTATGATAGACCTCAATACTTACCTTTAATGAGACACTCCTTTCAAACTATTCAAATGGAGCTTAGATTGAATTCAGGTAATTTCGTACCTTTTGAAAGTGGTAAAGTGATCATAGTTTTACATTTCCGCATGAAGCAAATACTATAAATAGTACGATGCGTTTTTGAAACATTCATTTGAAGAGAAGACGTCAAGATGAGTGTACCGTACGTTTGTTGTACTAAAAAATTCGAAGAACATTATGCGAGTCAAATTGGCTCGGGTTTGTCCTATTATAAAGGTATTAATTTCCAAAAAGGCTATGGACTTGGCGGTATATTTCGTCGATTATTTAGAGCAGCACTACCCTTTTTAGTAAAAGGTGGTAAAACTATTGGAAAAGAAGTTTTAAAAACTGGAACCCGTGTTGCATCTGATGTATTATCTGGCGAAAATTTGGAAGAAGCTGTAAAAACAAGAGCGAAAGAGAGTGGAAAAAATTTAGCTCGAAAAGCTATTGATAAAGTACAATCGATGGTGGGAAAAGGACAGTATAAAAGGAAGCGTAAGAAGCAGAAAAGAATCATTTCATCAAAAGCTCGCAAAGTGAGTGGACGTGATATTTTTGATCCATAATGGCATTTTTATTGAAAGATTCTCCCGAATGTGTGAAATCTGAATTGGAGTTGTTTAACTTACCTAGTACTCAAACTGTTATTCAAGATGGTCAGTGGATACAGTTTCATCCTCTTTCTAATGTGTTTGATAATGCACCTGTAGAGTTTCACGTTTCAGGAAGTGCTGAAGATTACATAGATCTCAGCCAAACTCAATTGTATGTGAAAGCGAAAATTGTAAAAAGTGATAATACTCTCATCACTAAAGATGATACTATTGGACCTGTGAATTTATTTCTTCATTCGTTATTTTCTCAAGTTGATATTTCATTGAATGATCGTATTGTATCCAATTCAAGTAATACTTATCCTTATCGAGCCTACATAGAAACTCTCCTCAACCATGGATACGATAGCAAAACTTCTCAATTAACAGCTGAATTATTTTACAAAGATTCTGATGATGGCTTAAAGAAAAGAACTGCTTTTATCAAAGAAAGTGCTACAGTGGATATGATTGGATGTATACATTCCGATTTATTTCACCAAGAGCGTCTGTTACTCAATTTGGTGGATGTGAAAATAAAATTGATACGAAGTAAGCCAGAATTTTGTTTACAAGGATCTGAAGGATTTAAAGTAGTATTAGATCATGTGTCTTTGTTTATCCGAAAAGTTCGTGTAAATCCAGGAGTGTTACTTGGTCATGCAAAGGCATTAGAAAAAACGAGTGCGAAATATCCCATCAATCGAGTGCAATGCAAAGTGTATTCGATTCCTAAGGGAAGTATGTCTTTTATCCAATATAACGTATTTTCAGGTCCTATGCCGAAAAAAGTTATAATAGGTTGTGTGGATAATGAAGCTTTTCATGGAGCATTTTCGAAATCTCCCTATGATTTTAAACACTTTGATTTAAATTTTATTGGAGTGTATGTAGATGGGCAACCTGTATCTCACAATCCATTGGAACTAGATTTTGCCAAAAATCAATACATTCGTGCGTATCAAACTCTATTTGTGGGTACAGAACGAATGGGTCAAGATAAAGGGATATTTATTTCGAGAGAAGAATACGTGAAAGGAAATACTTCGTTTGGATTTGATCTCTCCCCCGATTTATGTTCTGGAGAGCATTTAAATCTAATCAAACACAGCAACTTACGATTAGAACTAAAATTCAGCAAATCATTAGAGCAGACTGTGTGTGTAATCATAATTGCCGAATTTGAAAATTTAATAGAAATTAACAAGTCACGAAATATTTTGTACGATTTCGGAAATTAAAGAATGGATGGATTACA